GTGTGTTGCAATTAGCATTCCATGCTCTGTAGTGTGTTGCAATTTTTCCATGCACTGTAGTGTATTACAATTTCATTCCATGCACTGTGGTGTGTTGCAATTGCATTCCATGCACTGTAGTGTATTACAATTTCATTCCATGCATTGTAGTGTATTACAATTTCATTCCATGCACTGTAGTGTGCACAATGCACAATTGCATTCCATGCACTGTAGTGTGTTGCAATTACATTCCATGCACTGTAGTGTGTTCCAATTTCATTCCATGCACTGTAGTGTGTTGCAATTGCATTCCATACACCTTAGTGTTACAATTTCATTCTATGCATTGTAGTGTATTCCAATTTCATTCCATGCACTTTAGTGTGTTGCAATTGCATTCCACGCACTGTAGTGTATTACAATTTCATTCCATGCACTGTAGTGTGTTCCAATTTCATTCCATGCACTGTAATGTGTTGCAATTGCATTCCATGCACTTTAGTGTGTTGCAATTGCATTCCATGCACTGTAGTGTATTATAATTTCATTCCATGCACTGTAGTGTGTACAATTGCATTACATGCACTGTAGTGTATTACAATTTCATTCAATGCGCTGTAGTGTATTATAATTTTATTTCATGCACTGTAGTGTATTACAATTTCATTCCATGCACTGTAGTGTATTACAATTTCATTTCATGCACTGTAGTGTATTACAATTTCATTCCATGCACTGTAGTGTGTTACAATTTCATTCCATGCACTGTAGTGTGTTACAATTTAGTTCCTTGCACTGTAGTGTATTACATAATTCGATTCCATGCACTGGAGTGTATTACATAACTTGATTCCATGCACTATAGTGTGTTTCAATTACGTTTGGTGCTCTGTGCTATATGTGTATCGATGTACTCCTCCGCTGAATGACCTCGTCCAGGACAATTCGCAGTTGATATTCGGGTTGGCTGCGAAAAGAACAGTACCCTCTCGCTAATCGTACCAGTTTTGCCACATCTGATGCCTACCCCATACATATCCGACAAAATACATCAACAGTACCCTCTCGCTAGTAGTATCAGTTTTGCTACAACTAATGCCTACCCCATATATTATTCTATTTTTGATCCATATCTGGTTTCTAACCCACAACTATCCGATCACATACACAGAGGCTCCCAGTGGAGTCTGTGGTGCCGCGTCTCACCGCAGCGGCTGCGGCGGCGCAGTTTTCGGCGCAGGGCAATACTAGCACAGCACTCGCGGCAGTCACGGAGGTTGTAGTTAATATGCTCGAGGACCCGGACGCGTTCGTACTCAGTGTAGAAACTGATATGGCTGAATTCGCAGACTTTGATACAGATCAAGAAGCGGTAACGGCCCTGCTGCCCCGGGCGCTGGGCAGTCCCTTTTTCTTGTCGTTGGGTTTGGGTGCGGTGGAGATTGTGGATCAGGTAGCGGCTGCCTTTTTGGATGAAAGTAGGGAGGTGGCGCTGAATGAGATGTTCTTGCTCTCCTGGGCCAGTTTCGTGGCCAGTGAGGTATGTACGTGAGTCCATAGTGCTGGCTTGTTCTGTCGCGTTTTTGGCCGCTTTTAAGTGGTGTATCGGATATCTGCTGGATAAAACTATGCGACATGTACGTGATTATGCCCGTCATTGTGTAGTCGTCTCCCTCGTATCCGAGCTCCCTTAGAGTATATGCACCGGACAAATCGCTTTCGTATGTGATTTCATTCCTGCAAGTGTGGTCACAAGCAGCTTTCAAGTTTGTGTTCCATGAGTGCGTATGTGTACATCAATCTGCACCACTGTACAGATAGCAAGCCAGTTACGACTCTCATTCCCATCCTGACTTCCAACTCTGCCTTATCGCTTACCACTCACACCCTCCCAGGTCGTCATGATACTCCTTACGATGATGGTGTACTCCAACCGAGATCAGGCTGAGATCAGATCCCGGCACAAATACTTCTACATCCACTTCCTCTTTGGGGCCCTAATTCTCCCCTTTGTCGCTATTTTCTTCGTGGGTGTGGCGCTGTTTCAATTCACTTATGATCCGGATGTCAACGCAGCGCTGTTCACAACAGCAACCAGTCTGATGGCGATAGTGGGGATCATGTTTGTGCTCGTTCCTTTCACATACAGGCAGAGATTCATGTATGTGGTATTCAAGGTGCGCAAGTTCCGGTACCAGAGCTACTACTTTGTGCTCCTACCGTATCACATTGGCCTAACCTTGGTGGTCATCGCGGGTCATCTGTGGTGCTACTACGACCACGACTCGTGTACGGTGTATTACGATTACGTCTTCATCACCTTTGCCATAGTAGCAATTCTCATCGAGTTCGTCTACTACAGGTGAGTGGTTTGAGGATTCCAAGCGTAACGGGCACTTCCATATATACCACCACACCCAACGTCTATCTGTCCACATTAGAAACAATGACAAATCAGAACCAATGTGGAGGCATACGAATGTCTTGCGGCAGCGTCGCTTCGATTTATTTATATGGTGATGGGTCATCTGTGCTAAAGCACTGGGTGTTCTCGTTTATGTACCTTACCGGACCAAGGCTCGCTGGATGTGAAGCTGTTCAATGGTTACCGTGAAGTGTTGTTTTCGACCACAGTGACGTTAGAATACAATATGTTTGTTGCATTTACGTATATAAATATATATATATACTGCTCGGATACTACTAGGAGCTGTTCTTCATTACGCCACACCATGTGCCCTCGTGTCGGGACTATGGAGAGCAGGCGCAAGTTGCCCGTCATGATGTTCTCATGATCAGTGCATATTCCAATTCACATGTCGTATATTCCAATTCACATGTCGCACAATCCAATTCATATGTCGAACACTAGTATGACTGCCACACATGTGAATCCGAGTCTTCCCGCCCTCCCCTTTGCGAAGGCTTGATAGTCGGCTTATAAACAACCATCCATCAATAGCTCACACACACTTGCGCTGATAGCTGATAGCTGTACTCGCACATAGCTGCACACATTGCGCTGCCCAACCGTGCTAATGGATGTGTTGCATTGTTCGCTCCTCCACAGCTACCGCCTGGGAACGCAGACGTACACGACCCTCATCTTTGTGGATTCATGGCAAGCGGCGCGGCTCATATTCCTGTGGGGCACCTCATACGCCGTGGGATATGCGTACACCGGCTGGCGTAATACCAAGATGCTCAGCGCCCTCTGGATATCCTGGCAGCTGATCATCTTAACCACGGGGGCGGTCTTTGATTATTTCCTGCTGTTGTCGCTGAAAGCGTTCACCCGCAGAAACGGATACGACTTCATCACCGAATTGAACATGGCGGGGAATGCGAATCAGATGGTGGATCTAGATAACATCTCCATACTCCTCGATGACTCTGAACTACGCACATTGTTTGTGGAATTCTCGGAGTATCGGCATTGCAGTGAAATGCCAAAGTTTTTAGTGTGTATGCGGGAGGTGGAGCGCAGGTACAGGGCTACGGATGACGAGCACGTGCGCGTGTGTGAGATTGACGAAGCCATACGCCGCATCACAGCCGAATTCGTGACACCTGCAGTCCTAAATATCGCCGGCGAGGTGCAGGCACTCTTGGTGCACAATCTTTCGGAGCTATACGGTGTGAGTGTGACTAGGCGGTATACGAGCTCTGTCTCGGCCAACTTTGTACTCAATACGGACTCGTACCAATCGCACCAAGCCATCAACTTCCCCGCAGAGGGACCCCCGCCGGACACCGACTGGGACGAGGTTCTGGACTGGTTCAGGCCTGCGTATCACCAGATCCAAACGATACTGCGCATGAGTGTGCTACCGGTGTTCCGACAGAGTCCGCAGCTGATGCAAATACTCGAGAACAGGCACGCTCAGCAGGACGCCTTGCAGCGAGACGGGGTGTTACATGCAACTACACCAGCGTTCAACATGTCGGAAAGGGTCAGGTACATTGCCAACACAGAGATTGTTCGCGCAAATAGCTCGGACGGGAGTGCGAGTAACCGACGCTCGGAGAGAGGGCGGCATTTACTGGGGGATGCTGAAGGCAGCACGCGCACATTTGAAGCAGTTCCAAGGGCTGCCTTGGGTGCAGTGGACACGAAGGGTGATTGCCTGTCGAGTGGCCATAAGACTGGGCGAGCACCCGTACTGCAGCGAGGTACAAACACGTCTATGATGGCAATAGATAGCGATCTGGCTGGGAGCGGGCGCCATGATGTGTATAATATGCCAGCTGCTGGTACGAGCCCATGCAAACCACTGAAGCCTGGGAACTCGCCGGGACAACAAGCAGCCCTACAGGCGAACAGTGTGCTCGATGTTGACGGGGGTGGGTTGTGTATGAATTTGAACGGCCCGCAGAGCCTGCACAGAAGCATGAGCAGTGATAGAACAACTCAGTCGGATAGAAATACACACGCATATGAACACGGCCAAAATCCATACACCCCTAAATACTTGCATATGAGGACATTTACACGTGGAGATGCGGATTCTAGTGTAGAAACGCACAAGCCCACCTCGAGCACAAAGGACATGCAGTCAAGCACCTCTATAGAGATGGAGAAAAAGGTCACTGGTAGACGCCTTGATATTATGCAGGCGCTTAATAACTCTGAACGTTTAGATCACGGTTGGAGCCAACCAGTCACTGTAAAAAATATAGCAGAGGCATCGCAGATACCTGCACTGAATCTCGATACCTCACATAACCCCGCACAGGAAACCCCTTCACAAGAAACATCAAAAATAACTACGCAAGAGACATCACGAATACAAACACAAGCACTCATACCAGATCAGGCAATATCAACCGGTGTTGTGAAAGACACATCCGCTGCGGCTACAAATACGACTGATGGCATAAATCCGTCCACGGTCGATTCCACAGATGCATATACGCGAGAGCAGGATATAGGGATCGGTGACCACATGGTCACGGAAGCGAAAGCAGGAGAGTAGGACGATAGGAAATGTTCGCCTGTATTCTAGGTGAAACTCTTCTGGGGACAATATAACTAGAATAAAGAAATTCTGTAAGCCATATTGATGCACAACGGTTGACGCACATTGGAAATTGGTTTGGTGCACGTGCGTTATTGATGTGGCTCGTCCTTATAAACTTATGACACACAATGCCAATGCTCGGCACGTTTGTTGTCTACGGTCCTCATCAAGGCGACATATACGAGCTCGCAACGAGTTCTCGGAAGTTGAAGTTGAAGTTGATATTCCAGTACGGGGATGAACTAAATCGCGTGCGCATAATAGCTTACGTTTATGCTTTACACTGAAGTGTAAATCCTATCGTAAGCACGCGGATAGCAATCGATTAGATGGTCTTGCTCCTGAAGTATTGCAAGTGTATTGTACCTGGATCGATATTTGTTGTAGATCCGCCTTTACTTGTGTGCGTGTTTCTTCACACACCTATGTTTACACATATTGACAAGCCTGTGTGCAGACTGATACAAGTGACGAAAAGTGTCAAACTGGTCTATACGATTAAAAAATGAATGATTTTGTAATCATAATACTTGAGCGTGTGTCATCAGTACAAATAAAGATTTTGCTCATAATGTGTAGTAGAAGTCTATCGTTCATTCTTGTATGTCCACATCTGCGTTTAGATATATGAATACGTGTTCATTGTACATCATTTGCTTCACAAATGTCAAGAGGCTTATGCTGTTCCCACCAAACTGTTCTTTTTGAATCAGATTTTTTCGATAGATATATCGTGGTGTCCGTGATCAGTTGAATACCTGCAGGCTAGCATCGGATGCCTCACCCAAATTGTATTCGCCTCTGTTTGTAGAGATAGTACGCGGGATGCGCCATGGTTCCTATCCTTCTTTCTACATGTACAGAATAATAAATGATTGCTTCTCAAATCTCACCCCAAAGTGATTTTGAATCTCAATCAGTAAATAGACTGCTATACTTTTTAGATAACTATAGAATGACATTGTTCTGACAGGACTATTTATATAAAAAAAGCTTTATTTCACTTTCTGAATGATAAAGAGGGCAATACTGCCATAAATAGCCCTTTAATGTTCAACTTTTCTCATTTCTTTAAGTCACAACCAATATGATGCTGGCGTACAGGCGGTGCATCCGTGCATGTTCTGTCATCAGCAGATTTATGCGGTCAACAAGGACATAACCATCTTGTACCGAAAAAAAGCGGTCAACAAGGACATCTTAAATACGTGAAACTTTCTCCTCTAAAGCGAGAGAGAAAGAGAGAGAATGGAGAAACAAAGTTATCCGAATACGAACCTATGAACTATGAAGTCACGGCGTGATGTACCTGTGACCCCAGACGGACAATCGACAATTCGACATAAATATGTACGTAAAAAAAAATCAAAAAAAATTCGTTTTGTTATTTGTAATTTGTTTTGTTTTTATTTTGTCAACAAAAATTAAAAAACCAAGCAAAACAAATATATATCTGCAATATTTGTATGTATTTATAAATAGCCTCCTTTTAGAAAAGGCAAATAACCATAGTTAGCTGAAGGCGCCGGGCTGCAGCCTGCATAGCAATGACATATTTTATGGACCAAATGATGATTGTTCAAAAATTTCAAACATTTTTTATTACATTTTACATAGCCTTCTGAATTATACTCATTTTACCACAAATTTATAGCTTTCAGCGGTCCAGCCTTAAAAAAGCCTTCTCCTTGCATAAATATTTACATTATAGTTATGGATATGCTTTTTTGGACTTGTCTTTTTCTTTTCTCCAAAACATAGGGCTATAATCTGCCATACATCCATGTATGGTAAATATTTTTATGAAAAAAATAGCGGCATAGGCTATAGCGGCAAAATTGAACAGCTATGCTTTGTTTTTGTTATTATTTTTACAAAACGAAAACCCTTCACTTTTTTTTAAACCATATTTTTACTTTTATTAGCCATAGCTTGTTCAAACAGAGAGAGAGGAGTCAGAGGACTCGTATGCATCTGATGCAGTATGCCGTAGACTATGCATAATGCATATATAGCTCCTAAAATATTTTTGTTTTATTGAAGGCTATTGCCGAATGTCACTGCCTTTTGTTCTTTTTTTGGTCATCAGTGGAGAGGAGAAATTGTTTGACGATGAAAAATTAAATGAAAAATGAACAAATATGATATTATTGGTTGTTTTTAGGTTTTTAGGTTTCATAGTTCAGTTTTATATATATATATAAATCAACCCGCCAAAATTCTGTATGAACTTTAATTTTTATTTCACTTCATTCCTGAAAATCAGCGGTGAGATTGGTGTCGTCGCAATACATAGAAAATGAAATTAGGGCTTCGAAATTTCATATTTCATATTTCATTTCATTTTCGAAATCAGTGGTGAGAACAGGCCAAACCGGTTTCGGATTTTTACCATTTTTCGTTCGGATTTTTTGATTGGGGTTTCAGTTTCGAGAACAAAAAATGTCCTCGAAAGTCGACTTTCGGATCGGACATTCTGAAAATATTTACGGGAACTCTGGTTTTCGGACTATAAACGTACTTTGATATGACGCAGCACATTTCAGAATAATTACATTCTGATTGGCACAATATATGCCTCCTTCTTGGTACATATTTATTTACTACATATTTATGTATATATGTACGACAATAATATATACACTCGACGTAAATACTATACTACATTTTAAGTATACACATACGGTTAAAAAAAACTTTCACACACGTTTCTGAATATTTACATCTAAAATCTATAAGCTCCTCTGTATGTTAGTGTGCCACCAAGTGACAATACATGTGCTACCAAGTGACAGTTGATATGCAACCAAGTGACAGTTCATATGCCACCAAGTGAAAGCTCATGTGCCCAGCTCTGATTCAGTGCCTAGTTTCGCTTGCTGGCCATATGGGCATCTATATACGCGTCGTTGTCGTTGTAAAGATTTTGATAAATGAACAATTACGCAATAAATAAGGAACGCACAGGTGAATTTTGCTTAAATCACAGGACTTCCATGTGGTTGACCACCCAAGCTGTAATGGTCTGAGCAAGCTTTTAATTTTCAAAATGAGAGCTGGTCTCTCCGTTCTGATAGGACTTCAAAACATGCTTCAGATATGCACTCATTTTTCCCTTACATACATATAAGTACCCTTTTTGGCAGGTTTATGGCTTTATACTTATTAAATAGATAGTATCGAAGATTCCCCACGAACCAAGTTTGCGACAATATGCACACTTCCTGAATTTTATACATTTACCGTATATTTAAAGCACTTTATAGCACACTCGAGAAGTCTAAAGAATTATCCCTTGATTTCGTGGCGACTCCCATATTTCTGTATGTATGTTTATATGAGTTGTGTCCTTTAACGTGTCTATTACACAGACCGTTCTGCTGTTTCGCCCTCACAGTTCTAACACTGCACGCACTTTGTATATTTGTGTACAGATTAGTTAATATGTCTAACAATGCGCACACTTTGTGCAGATTAGTTTAGTTTTCAAGTCTAACAATGCGCACACCTTATATATATATTTACATGCAGATTAATAGTGTCCGAGAAACTCCTCGGCATATCGAATAAACGTAAAGATGAGCAGGATAGTATATCTAAATGGAGAGTATATGGAAGCGGCTGATGCGAAGGTGTCCATCTTTGACCGAGGCTTTACCTTTGCAGATGGGTAAGTAGGGCGAAGTTGTTGTATCCAATGCGCGATCTTAACTACAGGTACAGCACGTACGCACCTCCGAATTAATTGCTGATATTGAGGTGTTAGTTAGTGTTTTACATGGATGATGTGTTAGTTAGTGTTTCACCTGGAGTTGCTTATTGGATAATTGCGATTTTCCTCTTTGTTGATATTCTGTATTCAAGTGTTTACGAACAATTTTCTATTGAGTTGATCAATGATTGACAAAAACTTAAAACATTGCTCATGTTTTCCATACACAAAAAAGAGTGTATGAAGGAATCGGAATCGTAGATGGTGTGGCTTTTGATGCGCTCAATCATATGAACCGCTTGAAGCGTTCGCTGAAAGAGCTCGAGATATCACTGTGTGACGAAGAAGTGGAAGCTCTCCCGGAAGTGTGGGCGAATTTAATACATCGGAATGATGTAGAAGAGGGTCTCGTCTACTTACAAGTATGTACAAGTATGTTGTACACACATACTTTGGTGTCAGCACCCTAACTGTGCTGTTGCTTTATTTGCGTATCAAGAAATGTCGATAGATTGCTTGTCTGATCAGTGAAGACCTTTCGTTAGCCATTTTCGTGTGGCTCTATACATAATCGTATTTAGTATTTGTGATCGGCCACGTATATAATTCTGTCTGCTCTTTATATTATGCAACTATAATGGTTTGATGTGTAGGTCACACGGGGCGCTCCTTCCGACAGAAGTTATATGTTCCCGTCTTCAAATGTTCGTGCCACAGTAGTATTGTTCGTACAGCGCATGAACCTCATCAACAACCCTGTGGCGAAAAGAGGTCAGGCCGTCATAACCATCCCTGATAACCGGTAAATCCGCACTCAAATCTCTTAGTTTATCTGTTGTGTTGCGATAGGTTTTAATGAATTATGCTACAATTATTCAAAATTAGGAACATATACTCATTAGCTGCCTTATTTATATTGCTCGGGCAATCTGTTACGAGTCCCAAGCCAACGTTATACAGCTTAGCAAGTTTTAATTTCCCCCCCCCTCACATTCCTCGTCATATAGATGGGGAAGGCGAGACATTAAGACAATTCAGCTACTCACTCAGAGCTTGGGTAAAAACGCCGCCAAAGCACAGGGCTGTGATGATGCCTGGCTATACAATCCGAGCGACGATATGGTGAATGAGGCGTGTTCGGCAAATGCGCACATCATTACACGTGAAGGGGCTTTGGTTACGCGCCAGTTGAGTACGGATATACTGCATGGAATCACGCGTGCATATGTATTGCACTTGGCAAACGATCACCATCTGACCGTGCAGGAGCGATCGTTTACGCGACAGGTAGGTGTGCACTACTTGCCGAATACCACCGACTGTTTTAGTATCACTCTTGGTTCATCTTACGGGCAATTTATAACCTGCTCGAACAATGTTGCGTAAGGTCAGGATTCTTGTGCGATTGTCCGTTCAATATTTGTCAAGGTGCCAACTAAATACAAATGTATCGTTAATTTTCGCATCTCATTCTTACCAGGAAGCATACGATGCGAAGGAAGCCTTTGTTACAAGTTCATCGGTATGTTTGAGGAATCCCGAAAACTCGGAGTTGATTGTGCTTGAAGGTTGAGTTGTAGTAGACATGCTATTTTATACGCTTTCGTGTACAGTTTGATACGCCTCACGTCCACGTTTCATACTGTATTTGGATTATCTCCGCAGACGTTTGTATATCCAGTAGTGAACATTGATGGGCATTTAATATCCGATGGACAACCAGGACCCATCGCGAAAAAACTTCGTCTAGCTTATATCAAAGCAGCAAGAGCGAATGCTGAGTTACATCGTAGACAACAGACGACGTAGCTAAGAGAATTTTTTTCTGAATTAATGAAATATTCTTTCCCTTGCGAAGAAGTAGTAAATGCTCACACCTACGTCATAAACTCTTTCGGACTAAACGCAGTTGTCCTAAACACGTGGATTCTGCAGAGTATGTATTTTAACGGTAGTGTGCACCAGGCAAGACACGTATTAGTTGAGAAAATATTACGATTACAATCAAATCACCTATTATTTATTCTTGGCAGGGTCTACCTTACCATATTCTCCAAATGTTTTGCATATGTATATGAGAATGGATCCTTGTCAATCTTGCTATTGAGCTTGCCATTGCCAGCGGTAAAGAAACGATCGTACATGTGATCCCCACCACCCCAAGCGATGATTGCACAGTCTCGGGGGATATCTACCGTCACGCAATCACATTCCATCTCTGAGTTAACGCAGCAGTCGTCCGTTTCCTGAGCACCAGCACTTAGCCTGCCTGAGACTGAGTGGCTGCTACCATCGTAGTCGCAGAGCCACGGATCCGCCTTGTGGGTCAGTTGAGATATCGCCTGGTATTTTGAACGGGTGTGTATGTAAACTGCGTTATCTTCATCATCCAAGATGTCATCGGCGTCCGTCACATGGTAATCGTAGAAGGCAGATTCCTCCCATTCGTCATCTTCGATGGAACTCTCGTCTATCGCGTTCACCGAATCCAACCTCCAAGCATGGGGTAGAGATTGCGGTGGACATCGATGGCCTGGAGTGCCAAGCTTCTTCATTTGCATAGTGTGCCCCTCGAGATCTTCTCTGAGTTGTTGTCGTACTCGTAGTAATGTCGCCGGCTGCGGACGTGCAATGTATGCCCGATACAGAAATGGAGTTGGGCAGCTAGGCACATTGTTTTCCTTCTCTCCCTGATATTGCGGCTGAGATCGCTTCCTGAGTCTCTCATGATTATCGGGTACTCCCGCCTCGTTGAGTGCAATACGCTTCTGTCCTCCTTGCTCTTTCTCTATACCGCGGGAAATATCTACCAGTGGCGCACACTGAGTGGCTGGATGCATCTCTACAATATTTTAATACAAGTCAGATCCTTGCCGCAATCAGGTGCAAGTGGACGAGTTCTAGCTGAGTTCTTACTATATATTGTATAAAAAAATGTATAAACCTTCGGTCTCTAAGCCTCGGCAAAATCGCAGTTGAACTATACTAGTTGATTTATCATAATTGATATTTACAGAAAAATTTACTATGCGTCCCACACAATACCATCCTTTTGTTGATAAGCTTTGTCTCAGAAATTCAGAATGCCAGGTTACGGAGCAATCTGTGCTCATCTTTGAACACACAATGCGATAGTCCTGACCCCTAAAAGGCCTAAGGCGTTTAGGCGTCAAAGCCTCAACAAAGGTTCAAAATCGCAAAGACAACAAAAGTCTCAACCCCACCTCTGAAAAAGTATTAAAAAAAAAGTATGAATATTACTAATTTATACAGTCAGCGACTCAGCGGCAGTCGCGGCCGCAGGCCTAAAAGGCCGCAGCGGCGCAGGGCCTCAGGCTGAGCCAGGCACTCGCCTCTCAGTATCCCGGGACTTCAGAGTCCGGTCACTTGTATAATTAAATATTTTGTAATCTTGATCACTCTTGTGTTGTTGCGTCAGCTATTCAGCTTTGTGCCTTTGTCACTGTGTGCGTGTCTGTGTGATCACTGTCTTCTTTTTTCTTTTTTAACCAAAAATCAAACCAAATTCTAAAATACTTCTCCATGGATTTATACATCGAGATTAGCAATAGACTCTCTGTATTCTTTACTCTCCATCAATACTCTTTACTCTTTACTCTAGTAGTAGAGTAAGAGGGACGATAAGATGTCCGACACCCGTGCCACTCAGTTTGTTTATTAATACAATTTTTTATAGAAAACTACTAGAGAGCTACTGCCACTAATACTACTAGCCTACTACTAAATATAGTGTCTAACAGTGACAGAATGACACTGAATCTCTCTACTATTACTCTACTCTCTATTTATTTACTGGTTGTAGAGAGAATAATCTGAAGTCTGACCTCTGAAAGTTTGACACTTCTCTCATGAGTCACTCAGGACTAAAAGAGATTGAGCTACTCTGACTGAGGTCTGGACTCCGGAGAGAGTCTTAGTCTCTGAGAGACTGAGACTTATTGTTATATTGAGGGGAGACCGGGAGAGTATTCTGGGCCTGGGCCGCCTGGGCTGGCAGCCCCTGGTGCCTGAGCCTGGGGCGATGCCGATGGCCGATGGGCCCTGCGTAATTTTTATATATATATATAAAAACCCCCTTCAAAATATGCATATTTATCGCATCACAGCAAATAGGTTTTTTATGTCTGCCAAGTGCCAATTGCCGAACTTGAAATATAATACTGCGTAGTGTGTTTATTGTAAGGTGTACACTGTACACTAGAAAGAACACCCCCCCTTTAAATTATGCATATTTATTGCATTCACAGCATTGCCACTGCAGCATTTTAACTGCCAAAAAATACTGCATAGTCTTTTTATATACTGTATACACTCCACCGAGAAAAGCTGCATACCTGAAGACCTGAAGTCTGAAGAGTGAAGAGTTAAGACTCACAACTTCACAAAAAGAGACTGCACAGGGGGTTTTTTTTTGGGATAATCTAAAATGAAATAGAAATATAAACCAAAACAAAAAACGAAATGGCCAAATATTTATCGAATGGGCCTAAAATCTAAACATGTATTACTCTATGTATTATTTATTAGTAAAGGTACTAAGGTAGACTGACGACAGACGACTGACGACTGACGACTGACGACTGACTACTGACGAACTGTCACCTATATATAAATATAGAGCCCTGAGCCTGAAGCTAATGGCCAAGGGCGCCCAAGCCCCAACTCAAGGCTGTTTAGTGTTTGATTTAGGCTGCTGGTGGACCAGGTCTGGACTCTGGAGGCTGGACTCTGGTAACTTTTCTGATTGGCTAAAAATCATTTTTGTAAAAAAAAACAATGTTACAATGTAAATATAGACTATAGAAAGAGTATAGCTATAGAGTGACTAAATAAATGGAGAGTATTTTATTTAAATAAATTCTGTTGTTTGTTGATTTTTAGTTTTTGTGAACAATTCAATAAATACAAAAGAAAAATATACTATTTTGTTTTAAAATAAAATATGTACAAAAGTATTGACAATTGTTTTGTTGAAAAATCAATTCGAGAATCTATTCTAGTTTTTTTGCCGTTGCGATACTCTAGCTCTTTGCTTTTTAAAACGAAAAATGTACTGGTTTGTATTTTCACATTAAATCCATTCGTTTCTGAATACCAATGACTATACAGATTGTTTAAAAAAAGAGATAAATTCAGACTCCAGGGGAGATCCTGTCCGAAGTTTTACTAAAAAAAGATACAAATGTGTGCTTTTCAGACTGTTGAGAGTATTTCATTATTAGTATACAACCAATACAATAGCTTTTGTGCCAGGACCCCAAGGCTAAAGGTTGTCGATTATCCAATACTCGACTTCTATTTTTAAAAACAAATAGTATCTAAACACCCGGCCTCGCGGCTTTACGCGAATTGCGAAGGCCAACGGTCAAAGAGAGAAGAAATAATACAGAATGTCTCAAGTCTCAAATCTCAAGCAGACTTCTATTCGTAACACGTAAACACGCTTTCAAATTGATGCGTTAACGTAAACCGTACTACGTTTTTATTCGTTATAGGGTTTTCGTTTCTGCCCGCCCTTATATTTGGCATAATTCGCTAACTATATTTCACCAAAATATTTGTTGTTTATAGTTGGACAGATTTTCTACTGTCAAAACATAACAGCTATTAATTGGGCCATATAAGGTAGATCCAAACAAAATTGGTTTTTGTATACTACCTGAAAACAGGGAAATGGCTTCAAAACTAAGCGTTAACGCAGAACGTACTACGTTTACAGCATATATGAAGCACGTATTGAAGTCGGGACTCTCTAATTCACTCTCCAGTCTCGAGAGTCAAGAGTCAAAGCTCGAGTGGTGAGTGACGACGAGTCTCGAGTTCTCGAGTTCTCGAGTTCTCGACCTAACGTCACAACAAGAAGACGTCAAGGCGTCTATTTAACGAGGAACGAGTTAACGAATGTCCTCCAGACTCCAGACTCCAGAGTAAAAAAAAGGTACTATTTTGTAAATATGTATTTCTCAAAACAAATATATAAAATAAAATAGTCTGTATGTAGACGGCTCTCCATACTCCCCTCAACTCAACGGCCAACGTTCGCGATCCCAAAGCACTTGTCCACTTTTATCAGCACAAATACTCCCGAATTCTAAAAATTGGCTCTCGCACACTGTCACACATCACAGTCTCTCGCGCGTCACACACACACGGTCACATGCATGACGGAAATGAGATGATGAGACAGCCGAGCAGGCCGGTGAGCGACTGCGAAGTCCAATCAAACTCAGATAGGTCCAAAAACTCAAATAGTGAACAGATCATATTTTCAGATCGACAATTGTCGAACCAACCGAAATCGGAAAGAGTGACCGAAAACTTGAGAAGCGTTGGAAAATAGGACTCTTTTTTATTTTTCCGTTTGTTTGTTTTTTTTTTTAAACAAAAAGGATCCAGGAGCAGACGTTTATGATTTTACCATTCGACTATTCATTTTTTTTTTTAAACCATATGCTGTGGGCCCGTGGTAGATAAAAATGGTGATCTTGTCAGACTTGTCATTTTTTTTTCAATGCATCTGATAATTTCTATTCTCAACGTGGAATAGTTTTTAGGGTAATGTATTGTATTGGGCGAATAATAACGTACTATAGAATGACTTTCAGTTAAAACTTGTATTCAATCACTGTTCCTTCGACCTTCAACCCACTGAAATCACTTGATTTTGATGCGTAGTATTCCATGATTTCTCTATAAAGTATAATATACTATAAACTGTGCGTTCGATCTGGAATACTTTTATTGCCAACCATCTTCAATAGAATTAAATATATTACGAGCATAGTCTTCCTCCTTTGTTCTTTTATTGATGCTATGATTCGAGAGAGAGGAATTCAAATATTTTGCCACTATTGCATTTTCAATTTTGTATGCAATATTCAGATTCCACACCCCCGCTTGTTTAAAGACGGTAAATACAGGCCACAGAGTCACAGACCCAGGCACCCAGGCCCGGCCACAGTTCTATAGTCGCATGACGCCTATTTTTCTCAATTTAGTCGCACAGAGCCATTTTTAAATAGTGCCACAGCCTGAGCCCTGAGCCACGTCCACAGAAGGCACAGATGCACAGAACCACAGACTCAGATGCACAGAACCACATTCTCAGATGCACAGAACCACAGACTCAGATGCACAGAACCACAGACTCAGATGCACAGAACCACAGACTCAGATGCACAGAACCACAGACTCAGAGGCACAGTCACAGACGCGCATTGTCGGCTGTCGCAACTTGAAGACCAACTCTTTTATTTGTATTTTTTTAGTTTTTTTAAACAAAACTAAAAAATTAGTATATTTGTACTATTAGGAGACATGATTCTACATATCTCTAATCTCTATCTTTTTTAAAAGAGGCTATGATATTTATAAGATGCTGTGATTGTTGTGCGCTACTGCGCTTCATACCCATAGGCTCTTAGCCATATTTCTACTTCATTGTCTTCACAGTTCTACTTCACAGCCTTCATATTTCTACTTCATAGGCTTCATAGTTTTACTTCATAGGCTTCATAGTTCTACTCCTTAGGCTTCATAGTTCTACTTCATAGGCTTCATAGTTCTACTTCATAGGCTTCATAGTTCTACTTCATAGGCTTCATAGTTCTACTTCATAGGCTTCATAGTTCTACTTCATAGGCTTCATAGTTCTACTTCATAGGCTTCATAGTTCTACTTCATAGGCTTCATAGTTCTACTTCAAAGACTTCATAGTTCTGCTTCATAGGCTTCATATTTCTACTTCATAGGCTTCGTAGTTCTGCTTCATATGCTTCATAGTTCTACTTCATAGGCTTCATAGTTCTACCTCATAGGCTTCATAGTTCTACTTCATAGGCTTCATAGTTCTACTTCATAGGCTTCATAGTTCTACTTCATAGGTCATAGACCTCTATAATTTTTATGTGGTGGCAGGCGTGGTGCCTGGAGACGAGACTGATGAGTCACTGAGAGTGGCACCCAAATTTGAAATTGAAGGGAATGCTGGGAAGGGGAGGTCGCAGCCCGCAGCCTTCAGGCCGACCGGTCTTCATTTGGGTCAAATCAACGGTGTTTTGACGCTATTACTATAACACAAGACTAAAGTATGTAAATAAATACACGTGTTTGTATGCGTGTTTGTATATAGCCCTCCGTATTGTCACTGCCTCCTTTATGACTATAATTATTCAAATATCGGTCACAATTCACAAATTCTGCATGTAAGTGGCGGGGCATCAACAAATATACTATTGTAAAATTTGTAAAATTATAGTGATCTGGA